CTTGATTGCTCACCAGGGCATTCAGTTATCTGTACCTTCTATTTTATCCATCTTTTGTAATAATGGGGAAGGTGGTGCTGATCTGATACAACTGCTTATAGCTGAAAACTGTTAAGTGGAAATCTCGGTTATTGGTTGTTTGAAATAGCTCTCCATCCCCTCCCAAAACTATGGAGGCAGTTTACACTGAAATACACATACATGGGGTAAAAATCTTAAAACAAGGGTAAAATAAATCAAAAGCATGGGGCAGCGGGGAAGGCAGAGCAAGATATGAAGATGGAGGAAGGACATAATCATTAGGCCTTTAAATCATGGATGGCTTCCCTAGTTGACCATCAGATTTAATACTGGACTTCCATGAAGCTAAGGCATAAAACATAAAAGGACACTGCCTTTTTTATGTGTTGGGGAAACAGGAAGTTTGAGATGCAGAAAGGAGAGATGAAGTTAGCAGTAATGACTGTATTAGGGCTGTTGGCTGGTCTGCACTGGGAGTTAGGAGGCAGGGAGGGCTCTGGGGCTTGGCTAAGAGGAGCTGATCTGATCAGGGCATCGACAGTGGGGTGCGGGGCCACTTAGTAATAGGGGTTGGGAATGGTTTGGCATAGAAGTCTGGCCCCACCTCACCAATGTGGCCGTAAAGTGCCCTTATTTTGTCTTATGTATCAGAGATACTCCCAGACTGTGATAACTGACTTATGCATACAAGAACTGGGGTATAGGCTAGAGGTATGGAGGTGAGAGGATTCACCAGAGACAGAGTGGGGAGCAGGATAGGTGGATCTACTGAAATACATGGCTGAGGGGAGCAGCAGGCGAGACAGGAGAGGTCTGCTGCACCAGGTGGGTCAGCTCCCTAGCTGGGGATTGAACTCATGCCCAGTAGTTCACAATAGCTTGATATCACTGAGACTTTAACCCCTGTGCCACCAGGGAGGCCCTCCTTGTACTGAATGAATGTTCAGGGAATTTTATCAGATGGATTCTTATGTCATTGAACTACGCAATGGTGTCCTCAATAGTACTTTTAAGGTTGATAAAGAAACACTTTTCAAATGAAGATGTCTTGTATTGCCCATGAAAGCAAATGAAACCACTTTAAATGGAGACAAAACCAACACAGTTTAGGTACCAAGTGTTTTGAATGGTGGTACAATTTGGAAAACCAGAGGAAAATCTTGTTCTTTTCCCCTCAGTTATCAACTGTTACAAGAGGTTTTGACAAAAATTGGCAATGTGTGGGTATGTAAATAATCTTTTTTTGATTTGAAAAGAGCCATATGCTTTACTTTTTTATATTCTATTTATTTAAAAATAATATTGTTATATCATAATATTAGAGGAAATCTGTGCTAACTACCAGATTGCTGGTAGCAAGTTAAAATTCTGTTCCCAAAATTTAAAATTTTGTTTTGCATGGAAGAGGGACCATCCAACTCTGCATGCAAGACACTGCTTGGGTCTATAACTTTTTAGATTAGAATTTGATCTGTCAAGCATCTGTTCTTATCTACTTTACTTTCCCCAGAGGCACTATAGCATAGCTGCCATGGAAGGTTCTTTGCAGGATGGGTTGGATCGTGGAAGCAGTGATGCCCAAGCTAGGGAAGGCTTCACAGAGGAGGTGGTGCTGGGACTGTTGCTTGCAAAAGGATGAGGAGGTTGCTGGGAGGGCTTTCCAGGTGACAGGTGCACAACAGAGACAGAGGCTTTGGAGGCTTTGGAATTTCCAGAAAATGAAGAGTCATTTGCCTGGTGGAGTATGACATTATGGAGGGACAATGGCAGGCGACAAAGCTGGAATGGTAACTGTGAGACAGATCATGAAGTCTTTTGTATGTCATCTATTCATTCACTCATTTAGCCAAATATATTGAACAACTACTGTATACCAGGCCCTGTTTTAGGCCCTGGTGTTCAGCAGTGAGGAAAAAAACCATCACTGCTCTTATAGAATATTCCAGTGGAAAGAAACAGACAATAAATAGTAAAAACATAGAAGTGCACATGAAATATATTAGGTATTAGTGATAAGGAAATTTAGCAGGTGCAACCCTAGGGGTGGGCTGCAATTTTAAGGTGGTCTGGAAAGGCCTCACTAAGGTGGCATTGGGACGAAGATCTGAAGCTGGCAGAGAATGACAGAGTGCTGCAGACTGAGGAGCTGTGCAAAGGCCCTGAGGTTGAAGGCGGGCTGATATTTTCAGGAAAGCATGAAATGTAGTAGAGAGAGCAAGGGGTGAGGGGGGGCATCAAGGAATATGGTTGGAGGAACAAGAGGACCAGATCTGTACAGTCTTGCTGGCCTCTGAGAGCATGTTGGGTTTTCTCTGAGTAGGATGGGAAGTACGCACGAAGTTCTGAGCAGAGGGATGACTAATACAGTGGAAGATTTAAAAAGATCACTTTGCCTGCTGTGTTGAGAGCAGAGGGTGAGAACAGAAGCTAGGGGCCAGTCGGGAGACCATTGTAGTAATGCAGGGAGCAGGATGGTGGCCTGAAGCAGAGGGACAGCGTGGGGGGTGTGGAGGTAAATCGTGACATGTAGGTGATGAGGAACTACTGAAGACTTTTGACCGCTGAAGTGACATACGGTGTGTGTGTTATAAAGACGATCTTGGCAACCACATGGAAGGACTGGAGAGCCGAGAGAGGTGCTGGATCAGCTTCCCATCCTCCGGCCACTACAAATAACGAGAGACCTCGCAGGGAAGGTAGTTTTATGCCTGGGCCTGCTGGACGCGTTGCTAATGCTGTCCACTTCTCCACAAGGAAATTCCTTTGTGAATTTTGCCAATGGGGCAAAGTGAGAGATTGTGACCAGTTTATTCTAGAGGCAGCCTGCAAAGCAGGGGGCAGCAGACCCCTCCCACATGAGGGCCTTGGTTGCCTCCTGGCTCTGTTAACCTTACATGGCCCCGTAAGTCAGAGAGGGGCTTGGTGACTCGTGTCCTTTTTGTAGGTGAGGACACTCAGGCACAAGAGGGCTCAGCACGAGACTGTGTTCCCTCCTAAGGGTCTCCACCGGGACCCTCCCTCTGAAAGGTCTCTTTGGTGGACACAGAATTGTCTGCCCATCTCTAAAATTAAATGTAAAAAAGAGCTCACTGCTTCCCTGCTAGGCGGTTTGTGTTATTCAGTGCCCTGAGAGGCCAGTGACAGAAATTAGCTGAAGGAACTTGAGTGGGATGAGTGGAATTGCAAGAAACTAAAGTGTTCAGGGGAAAGTGTGTGTGGGGATGTGGGGGTCCAGGTGAGTGTGGAATGATATAGAAAGTGTGGCTGATCCGGTGGCCCAGGTGATGGCATCAGGCCACCTGGCTGCCTTCTCCCCACCCTGTGGCCCAGCGTGGGCACGCGGATCTCTTCTACTCGATGGTTTCCTCGCCAAGTCAGGAGGGCACCTTCCAGCAAATCATGTTTGTGCTAAGTGCCTCCACCAGAGTCAGTGTCTTCCTGAGATGCTAACACAAAAACGAGCCAGGAGGATTGTGATGACTGGGTTCCAGCCCAGAGACTCTCTCTGGGACCAGGTATGTGAGGTCAGCCCCATCTGAGGGGTGTTGGGCTGCACCCACAGATACTCTGATGACTTTTCTGGAAGTGCCAGGTGAGAGGTCATGGAGCATCAGTCCCTAGATTAGGGACGCTCCCTAGTTACAGACCTTCCTTTATTTTAATGACATCTGCAATGACGCTGACCCCAGACAAGGCCCCTTTTGGGGTAGATTTTGAGGGGAAGGGAGACATACTTCAACCTGTAGCAAATGACAAAGACACAAAATTAAACGTTAGTGGTAGAAGCTCCTGTCTCCTGTGGTGCTTGTTGCACGCGGACTCAGCTGGGCATTCCACGTCAGGCTCTCAGTGGATCCTTGACCCACTTCATAGTTGAGGAAACCAGAGGTAAGAGAGGGTGGGCGCCCAGATTTGAATGTCGTCTCCTTGAGTTTAGACCCACGCCTTCTCCTGCATCCTTCGTGCTACACCTGTTGATAGGACATCAGAAAGGAGCTGGGCTCAGACGGGCCGCCCTGAAATCATCCACACAGGAAGTGAACATGCTGCAAAGTCACAAAGGTCACTGCCATGAAGACCTCCTAAAGCTTGTTAAGGAGTCGCTGGGATGGGAAAAAGAGTTGCCCTCTTTTTCCTGAGGTAAATAATTGCCTCTGGGATGGTGTCTGTCACCTCACACCTCACCTGTGTTGCAGACACAGGTGATGACCCCTCAGGCCCAGAGGTCTGTGAGGCATGTGCTCATGGGGCAGAAAATGCCAGTGAGTTCTCGGCTTTGTCCATCGGCTCATCCCAACGAGCCGCTGCATTCCTCGTGACTCCCAGCAACCAGCCAGAGGCCTCTCTCCTCCTGTGCTTCCCTCTCCTCATCCTGAATTTAGATCGGAGTGAAGAGTAGAGAGAAGGAAATGAGCCAGAAAATAGAAAATTAATACTTGGTAGAGTCATCATATTTTTAAATTAATTTATAGGCAATGTCAGATTACTGGAGTTAAATCATTTTATCAGCAGGTTGCTCTAGGATTTAAAAGTTGGCATCCATCATTGTAAACCCAGTCTTGGGGGGGCCCCCCGGGAACGGTCTCTAGGGATGAGGATTGATAAAGGGTGGGCAGAAGTGTAAATACTTGATTAGCTGTGTCCTTCTCTTTCACACAAAACCTCAAATATTTCTCCATCACATCGAGTGATAATGGCATGTTAAATAGCAGCAGGAGGGAAGGAGCTATTCAGGGTTATGGTTAGCCTCCTTTCTAGACTTGACTTCCCTCCTGTCCATCCTGGAAATGTATTGTCTGAGAGGGGTGCTTATTTCAGGGTGTGCTCCTGGTTCTAGGCATGGGCTGAACTCCCTTCCGCCAGACACAGGCGGCCACTGCCCCCTGGTCTGAAGGCCACACCCCGTGCACATGCACGGGAGCACCCTCAGGCCCCCCAGAAGACCCAGGTGATGAAGGCCTCCATCTCTGTTGTTGCAGCTCTTTCTCGAGGGCGCGTGGTGAGAGTCCCCCGGGGGAGCCTGGTCCGCGTGGTGGGCACTGAGCTGGTCATCCCCTGCAACGTCAGCGACTATGACGGCCCCAGCGAGCAGAACTTCGACTGGAGCTTCTCGCCCTCGGGGAGCAGCTACGTGGAGCTGGCCAGCACCTGGGAGGTGGGCTTCCCGGCGCAGCAGTACCGGGAGCGCCTGCACCGGGGCGAGATCCTCCTGCGGAGGACGGCCAATGACGCTGTGGAGCTCCTCATCAAGAACGTGCAGCCCTCCGACCAGGGACACTACAAGTGTTCAACCCCCAGCACCGACGCCACCGTGCAGGGCAACTATGAGGACACGGTGCAGGTTAAAGGTAGGGACGCCCTCTCGGGGGTCACGCAGGGGTCAGACTTCTCACCGCCCCTCAGCTCAGGGTGATTTTGTCCAGACACTTAACCCTGCCTGGCTCTGCTCCGTCCTCTGTCTCATGGCTCCTCTTTCCTGAGTCAAATCATAGGATGGGCTGGGGGCCTCCGAGGCCCTTTCACCTCCCTCCGCCAGGTTTCCCCACCAGCCGTTACTGGGGAGTTGGAGGCAGCATGTAGAGGGCTGCCTGCATTCAGTGAGTCCAGCTGCCGGTTCTACCTCCTCCTTAGAGGTTGTGCAGGCACAGTGGGTCAGCTCGTGTAAAGCCTCTGAGAGCAGGGCATGGTAAGCTTTCGGTGAAGGTGAGGTGTCAGTTTATGGGAATGTCAGAGCCATCAGAGCTCACGTCTCTCTGTGGCCATCATGACATCAAGGCCTGTTCCAGAACCTATTGGTAGAGGAACAGTGATGTGTTCGCTGCTGGCTCACTGTCCTGGCTGTTGAAGTAATCACGCCATGAATATCTGGAATATTTTGGGTTTGGTTTCATTTTCTATTTCCCAAGTCCCTTTATAGTTATTTACACATCTGATTCTCGGAATCCAGTAAAGAAGGTGGTGCAGGATATTTCCCTAATTTAAACATGAAGAAATGGAAGAGCATAGGTTAATTACTCGCCTAAAACCACACAACTAATTGGTAGATGAGCAAGAACAAACAATTTTAATTTGGAGCTAGCAACATAGAAATATTATTGTTGTTGTTTTATTATTATTACTTAATTATGCATTTATTTGTCCCCTGCCTTGTTTCAAAAAGAATTTATGTCAGAGCAGGAGTGTATTTAAACCATCAGGAAAATAGAAGATATGTGATAGAAAAAGACAGCTTGATCCAGGCATTTGTTTCCCCTGGAAGGATTTGCAGGCCCTCCATATTTCAGGCACTGCTCCCCCTTTCAACTCACAAGGGGATAAAACAGCCATGCCTGTTATGGAGGTGACAAAACATCAAACTACCTTTTCCATGACCTCTGTCTTACTCTTACAGAACAATCCAAACATGTTTTAGCAGGAGGTCCTATAAGATGTTCTTGCATTGGAGTTAAATAATGTGCTACCTGGATAGTCATCATACACATGTTCCACCTGCCAGCATCAGGTGCACCCTGGTCTTCCCTGGAGGAGGGAGAATAGAGTTTGTCCCCCTAGGCCCCGGTGTCTTTCTGTTTCTTCTCCTGTCTTGGGAAGGCAGGAGCAGGGCAAGGCTCTTGTAGGGTCAGGAAAACAGCGGGGTGGCCATGAAGGAGATGGCTAACTGCCCAGGGGGAGCCTTTGGCGGCTGCCAGGCCTGCCCCAGGGTCTCTCTGACCCTCAGCTTCTTGGGTCTTGAAACTGTTCATTCGTGACCTGAGAGAGAACCAGCCTTGGGAACCGAGTCGTGGTGACGAACATGACTTGTCCCATAGGCTGACGAACATGCCAGAAGGCCGTTACGTCCATTCTGCAGTGGAGCTGGGCCTTGGGAGTAACCTACTGAAGATGCTGTAGTTTCTTCTGTCATCTGGAGTAGGCCCTTCTCGAGGACACTGAATTAGCTTCTGAGAGTGGGCTTGTGGGAACTTCCAGAGAGGACGGGCAGTGCTTGAGGGCCTTTGTCCCATTTCTCATCGAGTCTGTGAGCTGGCCCCTGCCTCTTGGGAAGGCCTCCTCTCTGCTTACTGCTTCCCTTCCTGAACAGCAATCACGCCACTTCCTCAGCCCCCTCCTCGATAGTGGGAGCAGAGCTTTCTTCCAGGTGACCCTCACAGAAGAGCTGGCCGAGGCAGTGGACTTGCTTGACCAGGTCCTGCCCCTAGAGGCCCTCTGCTCTCCGGGCCTCTCCCGGACCTCTGCCCGGCCTCAGGGCACAGGCATCTCATGTCACGCTTTTGCTCTTTGTGGACCAAGCTGCTTTAACTCCCCCAGATCCTTCCAGCCCTGTGTCCTAATGAAGGCGCGTGTGACAGCGGCAGCTGGTGATGATTGTGATTGCTAAGAGCCTGCACTGGCGCGGGCACGTTCCCTTATTAAGAGCACCTTGAATCCTCAGCGCCCCCTCCCTGAGCAGGGCCGGCTGCCATCTCTTTATGGATGAGGAAACTGAGGCCAAAGGGGTGAAGTCAGTTGCTTAAAGGCATCCCCAGGCACCACGCTGCAAGGGGAGTGTTCAACCACCCATTTCTAGCAGAGGGTCTTATCAAGGCCTCTTAAGTGGGAAAACGTGTCCACCTGGGCATTATTATTTTTTTTTAAAGATTTATTTGTGTATACAAGAGCTGGGGTGTTGGCCAGAGATGTGGGGGGTCGGCCAGGGATTGGGGGCTAAGAGGATTCACCAGAGACAGAGCGGGGAGCAGAACAGGAAGATCTGCCGAATACACTGCTGAAGGGAGCAGCGTGCAAGACAGGAGAGGTCTGCCGCACCATGTGGGTAGCTCCCTGTGTGTGTGTGGGGGGGGAATTGAACAAGTGTTGCAGAGGCTGCAGATAGCCTCACAGTGCTGTGCTTAACCCTTGCACAACCAGGGAGACCCTGGACTGGACAGGAAGGCCCTGCAGGAGGCAGGAGCCTGCTTGTTGAGGGGGTGCGCGGGCTGCTGTCTGTCTGCTGACTCGGTGTTCCCCCCTCCAGTGCTGGCCGATGCCCTGCGCCTGGGCGCGCCCCCGCAGTCGCCCCGAGGCCTGAGCCTGCGCGAGGGCGAGCCCTTCGAGCTGCGCTGCTCGGCGTCCACCGCGTCCCCCCTGCACACGCACCTGGCGCTGCTGTGGGAGCAGCGGCGCGGCCCGGACCGGCGGAGCGTGCTGGCCCTGACGCACGAGGGCAGGTTCCGGCCCGGCCCCGGCTACGAGCAGCGCTACCACGCGGGCGACCTGCGCCTGGACACGGTGGGCAGCGACGGCTACCGCCTCGCCGTGTCCCGCGCGCTGTCCGCCGACCAGGGCTCCTACCGGTGCGTCGTCAGCGAGTGGATCGCGGAGCAGGGCAGCTGGCAGGAGATCCAAGAGAAGGCCGTGGAAGTGGGCAGCGTGGTGATCCAGCCAACAGGTGAGCTGGGTGGGAGTTCCCTCTGCTTCCCTGGGAGGGCCCGCCTGGGTGTGGGGCTGGGGGCGCAGGCGGGCTTGGCGGTTTGGTTGGGGGCGTGTTTGTTTTGTGGTGCGGGCTTGGAAGTTCACCCTGCAGCTGCTTGTCACCTGAGCGCACAACCATGGAAGCTGCTGTTACCTACCCCTGCAGGATAGGTTTTTTTTTCCTCCAGAAGATGAAGTCCTCCTGCCAGAATGAGGTCCCGCCTGGGGTCCAGGGGGCTTTGCGGGTGCAGCTGCCCCATCCCCCTGCTCCCTTTGCTTTATCTTGTCTGGTGTTCCTTGAATCCATCTGCTTTTCCCCACAGCTGTTGGAGGGGTGTGTCTGGCTCACCCCAAGACCTCTCCCCTCACTGGGATGCTCTGGGCATGCCTCAGGGCCCCTCAGATGCACCTGCCAGACGGGGCCTTCTTTGGCTGGGCCTCTTCTTATTTCCTGTGTGTCACACGCCGCACCCCGGGGCAGCCCGCCTGCCCTGGGACCTCTGTGCAGGAGGCCTTTGTCCTGTCACCTCTGAACCAGCCTTTTTAAACAATAAGCATCCTTGCCCTCCTACTACAGAATTAAAATACAAAATGCATTTTAGAAAATCCATAAAAATAAAAGAAAAATATGCAAGAACAACCAGTCATTATTGACTCTGTCCAGCAAGCATCGATGGAGACCCTGCTGGCTCCCCGTCTGTGCGGGGCTTTGGGCTCAGGGGTGCCTGTGATGGCTCCCCAGCCCTGTGCTCCTCTGGCTTCGGCAGGAACCAAGCACAAAGTGATGATCTCAGGGTGATGTCACTGCACAGCAGGGCATACACGCTTGTTTTTCTGGGAGTCAGATATCTTTGGATCACAAAGTACTTTGTTTGCCCCGTTGCTGCTGTCTGTTTTGTAAACTGGGAACACCTGGCCTGGACTCACTTTCTGAGGGTAAATACGTGTGGCTGCTCTGTTGGTCAGTTGGGAAGGGAAGCAGGAAACCGCGCACATGGAAGGAACTGTCCTGTGTCATCTGTGCTGTGCAGGTACTTGACCCTGCAGTTCCCCTGCCATGCGGAACCAGCTCTGGAGAAGGTGAACAGCAGGACTTGGGCTTCTTGGCCATGGAGCCCCTCAGTGAGGTGGGGGTGTTCCTGTTGTGGAGAGGGGCTGCCTGCCACAGTTACCATGACGCCCTGGATGCAGAACTTGCTTTCCACGTGGACTCGAGTCACCTTCCTTTTCGGAAGTGATCTACCCGGTCTCTGTCCCGAGAAACCTCCAGCGATGAGTTTGCATCAAACAACCATTTTCATGGGGCAGAAGGATTAAGAGTTGGATTTGCAGCATGTTAACCTTTTATGCAGGGATGACCTGCCTCTTCACCGGTGTTTTTTATTCAAATAAGTCACAAAGCCCATCAGGTACAGTTGTGAGACCTGCACACTCTGAACCTGTTGGCATCTGACTCCCACCTGGGCCCAGGGGACTCATCATGTTTTTGTGCTGTGGATTTTGTTGACCACCGCAGACCCTTTCTCAGAATTCCCATGTTTCAATTCATAACATTCATACGCAGAATGACAAAGGAATGAAACTGTTGTCAAGCTATTTTTAAAACAAATTTATTCCCTAATAGTTTGCCTTATTAACACATTCAATAAGGTAATGGCAGGCCTAACTACTGTAATTTCTAAGTGGCAGTGAATGCAAACCGTATTTCAGGATATCTACAACAATACGGAAATAGCTATCATTAGACATGAACTGTCATTTCCGTTGGGGTCTTCATCCCAGGGGCAGATGCTACTGCTGTGCTGTTTGGTTTCATTATAAGAAGGAGATTTTCTGTTTTGGGTAGGGGTTAGTAGAAATAAGCATGTTCTCCCCCCGACTCCCACCCCGTCCTAGTGCGTTACGGTAGACGGCATCGTGACTGACCGGGAGCTGTGACCCCTGTGTGGCCGCACTCCCTGTGTGAGGACTGGACTGTTTGGTGCAGGTTTGGTGCCTATGCTATGGATTCTGTTATGTCCAGCAGGACAAGGCCTGCACCACCTCTGGCTACAGCTGAGGCCCCTTGTTGCTTAGGGACCCCTTAGAACTGGTTCTTCCCTCTCTCCCTGCTTCAACCTGCTCCATCCTGCTTCCCAGAAGTGAAACCCATTACGAAGCAACCGAGACCGTGAAAGGGACATTTCCACCAATATTTCCAAGTCTGAGAATCGGTTTTCCATAACCACATATTGCCTGCCTCTGCACGCACCTGACTCCCTCCCGAGCTTTCTTTATTTTTGGTGGCCAGTACCAAGGGGCTGGAATGGCATCCAGGCCTCCCAACCACGAGCATCCTACAGGGAAACCACAGCTCAGGCTCAGCCAGCAGTGTCCACACTGACTCCTCCCCAAAGATGTCCTCAAATTAACTGTTATTTCTAAGTGGCAGTGAATGAAAATGAAAATCCCTCTAAAGGGATGAAGGAGGAGAAAGAATTTGGGGAGGGAAGTAAAGGTGAGAAATTAGACTTTTAAATTCCTTTTTCTAATACCAGGCCTACCTCATATTCTGTCGTCTTCAGGGTGGATCTTGAACTCAGCCTAATCACTTGTTTGAAATGTTGTCAGACTTTGGAAATATTCATGTGAAAATAATTAGCTGCAGAGGCCTGGGCTTTGGGCTCAGGCCTGTTCTGAGCGACTCGCTAGAGCCGCCTCGTGTCTCCATGTGAACCCCTGGGAGGCGTTCGCCATTTATCATCCAAGCACTGGTTCCCCAGCGTTCCCATGAGCTGAATGTTTTTCTACTTTGATTACAGATGTTCAATTTCTTTTTAAAATTCCTCTGAATAAAATAAAATGTTTCCATGTAAAAAGCTTTGACAGGAGAATGCCGGAACCCCCGGGACGGTGACACCAGATACCCGAGTGCTTTGTCTAAGCTAAGCTACTTCTCATCTTCCCGCTAACAAGACAGGGCAGTGGCATGGGTAACCCCGAAATTCTCACGTCTTGCTTTAGAATAGAGGCCTTCTGCTTAACTTCAAGGCGGGTCTGTCTAGCGGGGCCGGTGATAATCTGAGGACATGGTCTTGAAGACCTGGCTGGGAGCTACACTGTCTGATTTTACTTTTCTGGTCCTTCTGCTTAGGACCCTCTTTTATCCACAAGATGACTTCACCCACCCCTCTTCCGCTCGGTCCCTAACTGATGGTTGGTACCAGTCAGAATTGAGTTAACCTGTCTCAGTAAAATCACCCAAGAGCATGCACTTGGGGAAACGTGTAATTTCCTTCTGTGATGTTCAGCTGACTTCTTGCCAGGGGAGGGTGTAACAGTTATAAGCAGCAGCGTTCCTACAGGCAGACTGCCTGGATGGGAATCCCAGCCCTGCCACATATTAGCTGTGTGTTCTTGGGCAAGTTACTTAACTTCTCTGTGTTCAGTTTCCTTGTCAATAAAATGGAGCTATTAGTACCTCATGATAGGTTATTTTTGGAATTTTTTTTTTAATTTTAATTTTATTTTTATATTCTACATACAATTGCAAACCCCTTACTTTGACCCCAATCCGTCCTGTCCCCACCCCCCACCCCCCATAGAGTGTCTCTGGTTCATAGTTGTTTGTTGATTTTGATTTTCCCTTTCCTATAGTTAGTCTTTTTCCTGGTCCCTTATTTAAGTTTTCTAGATTCCTGCTATGAGTGAGACCATCCGGTATTTTTCTTTTTCTTTCTGGCTTATTTCGCTGAGCATGATCCCTTCCAGCTCCATCCATGTTGCTGCAAATTGCATGTGTTTATCTTTTTTGAATGCTGAGTAATATTCCATGGTGTATATGGACCACATCTTCTTGATCCAGTCATCTATTTTTGGGCATTTGGGTTGTTTCCAAAGCTTAGCTATTGTAAATAGTGCTGCTATAAACATAGGGGTGCAGGTGCTCTTTGGAATTGATGTTTCTGTGTCCTTTGGGTAAATACCTAGGAGTGGAATTGCTGGATCACATGGAAGCTCTATCTTTAGCAGGTTGAGGAATCGCCACACAGCTCTCCATCGTGGTTGGACCAATTTGCACTCCCACCAACAGTGCTATTCTTTCTGAGTAGTGAATAGTCTGTTGTTGTTGTTGTTTCATTTATTTTTTGCATAGAAGAACTGGGGTGCAGGCCAGAGGTGCAGGATTGGGGGTGCGAGGATTCACCAGAGACAGAGTGGGGAGAAGAACAGGCAGATCCACTGAAATCCACTGCCGAGGGGAGCAGCGGGCGACACAGGAGAGGTCTGCTGTGCCAGAGATCCCTGGTCGGGGATCGAACTCAGGCCATAGCATTGAGATAACAGCACTGAGACTTAACCCCATGGCCACTAGGGAGGCCCGATAAGTTTGTTTTGCAGGTTAGTAGTTAAACAAGCACTTAGAACGGTCCCTCGTATGTATATGTCAGTGTTCACTGCTGTGTTTTCTTGAATTAAAGAGAAATGTGGTGTGTTTTATTCATTTAGTCAATAAAATTTTCAAGCACTTACAGTCAATAGGAACATGAAAGGAAAGGCCCTGGAGGGAGAGGAGGGGCAAAGGGGCAAATGTAATCCAGATTATGTGCATGTATTTGCTTTTAATTTTCAAGCTCTGCAGGCAACCGTGCCCAGGAACGTGTCTGTGGCGGAAGGGAAGGAGCTAGACCTGACCTGCAACATCACAACAGACCGTGCGGATGAGGTCCGGCCCGAGGTGACCTGGTACTTCAGAAGGACGCCCGACAGCACCCTGCCAGGGCCCCACGTGCTGGCGCGGCTCGACCGAGACTCCCTGGTGCACAGCTCTCCTCACGTGGCTTTGAGTCACACGGACGCGCGCTCCTACCATTTACTGGTGCGAGATGTTAGCAAAGAAAACTCTGGCTACTATTTCTGCCACGTGGCACTCTGGGCCCCGGGGCACAACAGGAGCTGGCACAAGGTGGCAGAGGCCATGTCTGCCCCGGCCGGGGTGGATGTGACCTGGCTAGGTGAGTGGCTTGGGGGAAGCCTCTCTGGCTTCCTCCCTCCTGGGGGCCTTCGGGGGGGGGGGGGGGGGGGAGTCTGCGCTCTGTGCTTTGTGTTATCTTGGGTTTCTTTCTAGGAGGGCAAGTATACTTTAGCCTGGATTGATCCCAAGCTGGGGGGTGGGGGGGAGCAAGACTGGCTGCAATAGAATCTGGCAGGCAAGGGAAATGTGTAGATAATGTGGCTTCAGTTGTCTTGATACCCTCATTTGAGAGGATATAGTTTCCTTTTGTTGTCGAGATTGGCGAGGTCAGGGACCCTTTGAAATGGATCTTAGTCGGAGGGAGACTCTGTCTTCCTTTCCTGCCCCAGACCCCTGGGTGCTCTGACCCAGCCACAGCTTCTCCAAAGCCCGGTGCAGGACGAGAATCCCTCAATTAACGGGGCACACTTTTATTTGCCGATTGCACTGGAATCCGAGAATAATTTCATTTGCAGGGGCCTGTCCAGTGCCTCTGGCTGCCCAGGCTCTCAGGCCGGCTCCCTACCTCCACCTGGACAGTGGCTCTGACCTCTGCCCACCTCGCCCCCTGGTTTATATGTCCGGGAAGACCACTGTCACCGCTTTGTCTTTACCATTCTCTGCTCTGCTATATCTTAGTTTCCTACACACTTGCCCTCCGGGGCTGGCTGCTCCTAATTCTAGCTACTGTCTTATAATTAGATACAAGTACACTTAGGCAGGACGGGGTGGGGAGTGTGTCCCCTCCTCCATTATTATAAAGAAGGGCGGGCCTGCCGGCAGACTCTCCCATTTTGAGCCTGGTCTTCTCCTGTCCCACAGCTGTCCTGACCCCCGATGGGGACATTTGGTGATGGTTTTGATTATTAGGAGGGTAATTAGCTCTACAGAGGCCGGGCCATTATTTCCTCCTTTGTCTGATGCCCCTGCCGTGGTGACACCCGCCTCATACTTAGCTCTCGTTTGTCTCCGCATGGCAGTCTTGTCTTGGGATGGTGACACAGTCTCTCTTTGCTCTTAACAAGCCTTTCTCTGGCAAAGAATGGGAGTTGGCAAGTCGGGGTGGGGGCAGGGAGAAGGTCACCAGCAAGGAAGCAGAGGCAGAAGGTGCATCCGACTCAGAGTGCGATGAGGCAGCGTGTCCGTCATCCCTGGGAGCAAAGTGACTCTTTGATATCTGAAAAGTAGCAGGAGCAGGGATGATCTGGCAAGCTTTTATTCCTGCGCTTGAGCCTGTGCGAGGGACTCGCTGTGAAGTGCTGAACTGGAACAATGTTGGCCCAGCTAGAACTCTCCTTAGCAACCTTCAAAATAAAACAGATGTTGTCAGCACCAAAAGAAGATTTTTCATCTCTGGAGCTGCATTTGTCTCTCCACTCTGATCCTTGGAACACTGTGTGGCGCTGTCAAGCCTTCCCCTCCCCCCTCCAGCGTGGAATCACAGAGCAAGTGAATTTTTTTTTAAGAAAGTGCTGTCTGCACTCCAGTTTGAGTGCCCCTTTGAAGTGCTCCCGCATCGATCCCTGCGTGCCCAGGGGGAGATGCAGGCACTGGCAGGAGGCAGGAGGGGAGCTCTGGGGGGAAATGAGCACTTTTAGCTGGAAGGGATTGGTGGGGGCTGTGTTCTCCAGAGAATGGGAAGAAGAAGAGATGAATTGCAGGCAGAAGTTCAGTTATGAGCCCAGGGACCCCGTCCTTTGTTCCCTGCAGAGGGTTGGCACCGGTCACCAAGTCCCATGTGCTTTGCTCAACGGAGGCGAGTAACACCCGGAACAGCGCTTTGTATGCAGTGGTGCTCAATAAACGCTGTGCACCACAGCATGGCTAGTGTCACAATACATGCACGGGAAAATGAGAATTGCAAAAATAATAATAATGATAATCTTCAGCTCGTAGACTCTTCAAGGATATTTGCACACAGGCTGTGAGTGGTACATTAACCAGCTGCATCCTTCTCTTGCTTCCTCGTAAATCTCCCTGTCCTGACCCGTGCTGATGACTCATGCCATTGCAGCTGCTTGGACACTTGTCCTGAGGCCAGCCGGCATGAGTACAGCGGAGACCTTTCTCCAGCTCCTCCCAGAAACCCGGGGGCCCGCGTGATTTCGTAGAACGTGGTAGGCGTGTTTCTCCATGGGCCGTGCACATGTGGATACCGTGTCACGTGCCATGGGGGCTGTTGCAGGTAATTGGCAGGCGGCCAGGAGAGACAGGAAGACAGGTGACTTCCCAGCGAGCTCCTTAGACCGGCCGGCTCAGGGTGCGCTGCGTGGAATGCTGTCAAGAACAAGAGTTCTTGAGAAAACTGGTTTCCTCTGCAGGTGCCACACTGAACTCTCAGCTTTGCCACTTGACACATTAAAAGTAATAATTAGCATTTATCGAATACTTACTGTGTGCTAAGCACATGCGTTAAATAGGCAACCCCTCAACAACCCTGGGAATCAGGTTCTACCTTCTAGCCCTATCTGAGAACCACTGCTGTTTTGGAATTTTTATTATGGTTTTGAGGGTTAGGAATGAGGGAGGAGCTGCTGGGATTCATCTCTGAGGACATGTGATTACTGGGAATGCTCAGGCTGGGATCCCCTCCTGGGAAGCTTTCTCATGCATGTGTCCCCTGCACCCGGACCTCTCTCTGTCCCCCGTGGGGGCTTATGCTCCAGGCCCTCTCTGTGGGGTTTGGGCCCTCACTGCACCGTCTCCTCAAGGCGGCCACACCACTCCAAGGTGGCTGGCTTCCAAGAGGTAGGAAGTGGAGGTGCCCAGCCAGTGAGCAGCGGCCCCTGCGCCTGGCACAGAGTCACCTCTGTTGTGTTCTAACCGTGGACGCCATCACCTGGTCCGCCCGAGTTGGAGGGTTTGAGAAGGAGACCCGGTTCTTAGCGGGAGAGAAGCAAGGTCACACTGCAAACGGGCCTGTGGGCAGGGAATGTTACTGTCATCATCTTTGGAAAATAGACTATCACAGTGATTAATACTTGTTTCTTTGATTAAAAAAATGTTTAGGATGACTGAGAGAGAATGCTGGCCCAGGGTCAGGTCTGTCTCAAGCTGACAAGCAAACGGTTTTGCCTTTGGAATCAGCTTCTCTCCTGAAGCTCTCGGGCATCCAGTCTGCAAGGCTGGGCAGTCCTTGTCTTTATTTGTTTGGAATTGGTGCACTGTAGAGCCAAGGGGTTGATGTTGAATTGGGGTCTTCCTGTGTTCCATTGTGTTACCCAGAGACCAGGGCAATGATGTAAATTCTATGTGGACTTGTTCTTGGCAAGTCCAAGAACACGTGTACCAGCTGGGAGGGCCATGATGATTTTTCAGAGTGTAAGAAAAAGTCTCTTTTGCTTGGAATTTATGTCCTATTTTTAAAGGGGAAAAAAAGATTAAGTTGGCTTCGAAAAGGAAGCACATTTTAAAGCAGCAGACAAAAATAAAATTAAGATCAAAAAGGGTAAAAATGAAAAATCAAAGAATAGATATTGCAAGGTGGTTGGGATGAATTAGTTACTGCCTTTGAGCACTGAATTTGCCCCTGGAGTTTTGAAGCGTGGAGGCCAAAAGATGTGATTATACAGTTCTTCTCTTCTGAAGGAAAACAAATTCTTTCAAAGACACAAACTTTGTCTTGGCCCTGAATATATCATGTGCTTTTTATTTAAGGGACCCGGATGCATAATGGACAGTGCTTTCAACTGTTCTTTTACAAAAGGCTCTACGTGATTGTTTAAATGGATCTTTCTTACATCCACTCTCTATAAAAGCTGAGAGCATAAATCTTCAGTGTGTGAAGGAGTTTCTATAAGAAGCTGTGTGACTGTGGGGGACAAATGTTGCTTTGTGTTGATCCAATTTAGTATATGGTTGAAACGAGGGAGAATCTGGAGGCATGGCTAGCTAATCTGCATATTAAGCCATCTCTCCCTGCTATCAGATGTCTTAAATGAGCCTTTGGCAAGAGCTGGATACTAATCAGTTCATGGTTGAGTTCTCTGCTCAAAGTCCCAGACTTGTGTGGTGTTAATTGGAGAGGGTTCCACGGCTTCGGGTGAGGAGCAAGAGGAGGCAGAGCTGAGTTCTGCCTTCAGGCTTCTGAGCCTGATTTGCATTCCTCTCCACCAGAGACCCATCCCCTGTCCTCTCTTCTAGCAGAGTGCCAGCTAAGAAGGTAATTATTTTTCTTTAAAAGGAGCTGTTAATCTGCTAAGTACTTGGTGGAGACTTCAGAGTTCTGTGCCATCTATAGAAGTTAAGATTTAGATCTGCAGGATTTTATGGGCAGCTGTTATCACTGTCTGTCCAGGATTGTGTGAAGGCGGGAGAGCCCTTGGGTGGGCATTAAGTCCAGCCCCTCTTTGACCCGCACCTTCTAGGGATGTTATCTCAGGTGTGTTGCTTAAGGTTTCTGAGCTTTGACTTTCTTGGTTCCGTGGATTAATGTACATAAAGGGTTCAGCAAAGTTTTGGATGCCTTCAGGGACCAATACACTGTCACAGCAGTGATGATGATAATGAATTATGGGTGTGTGTGGGGGGGTATCAATATAGAACAGCCTCTTCCCCATTTAGTTCTATTTTAAATTTTTGTTGCAGTCACCTTGGTTTATAACAGAAGTTTCAGGGGTGCAGCATTAAAATTCAATGTCCTCACCCAGTTCTTGCCTGAGTAAGACACAGGAGTGTGTGCGTCCTGATAACAGCTGCTCCCCAGGAGAAGGTGCTGGCCTGTACCTTCTGTCCCTTCCCTGTCCTGGCCTCCCAATCTGGGAATTCACCCTTCTCTGGTGGGAGGAGTGAGAGAGATTGAAGAGGAAAAGACATGTGAGTGTTCCATTCAAGTGATGTCATCTTCCCTGCTCTCAATGGCCACTGCTGTTTACGACCTCATAACAACAGTTCTGCTAAGGTGGGGTAAAGCGTATCCCAAACAACAGCTCCTTCTCTATTTAAATGTTAGAGAATATCGTCATACAAATCTGGATTGTGAAACTCTGACAATCGGTCCAC